ATCTCCTGGAAATCTGTTTGCATATGTTTTATGGATTCTATTTGTTTCTTATGTTGGGATTCCATCATGTTCCCCAGCTCTTCTCTAGATTTATTAATCATGTCTGGCACTATGAGCACAATCTCTGCTGTTATCTGAGAAATTATTTCTGATTTCATTTTTTTCCAGATCCTCTTTTGTTGCCAGTTCAGGGAGTCCAGGTGGTTCAGTATCAAAGTGTTCCTTCTCATTTCCCTTTGGGGTTGCTGTAGGTGATCTGGAAGTTTGGTTTTGAGACTTGTTTACATGTGTTCTCATTTTTGATGGCAAGGGCAGGGATGCTCTTGGCACCCGAGCAGGTCACTCTCTCTGAGCTGGGAGCGGTGGAACAGCCACCTGGAAGCCCCTTCCTCTGGGCCGGGAGCCATTATCTCTTCAAATATTGTTTTTGCACCACTTTCTTTCTCTTCTCTTTCCAAGATCCTGATTAGACACTGGACCTTCCCATCTCATCCTCTATATCATTTTATCCCTCTCTCTTCTCCATTTCTTAATCTCTCTGTGCTTTGCTGTCTGAAAGTTCTATACTTACCTTTTAGCTTGCTTACTCTCATTAGCTGTGTTTAATTGCTTTACAACTGAGTTTTTTAGATCAATTTTTTTGTTTTAAAGTTCTGTTTCTTTTTCAAATCTGTTCAGTCATTGTCTATAATCTTATTCTTTACCATTTTTCTTTATTTATTATTTTCTTTAACCATATTAACTATTCTTATTTTATATTCCCTATCTAGTCATTTTAACAATTGAAGTTTCTGGGAGTTTGAGTCTCCTTTCTTTCTGTGGGTGCTCACTCTTGATATGGGTATTTTCTTGTGTCTTTTCCTAAGTATGTATAGTTTTCAGAATGTTATATGTGTGGTTATTTGAGGTCAAGATTGAAGGTGGGTTTTCCCAGAGAGGAGAGAGGTGATTTGCTTCTGCTGAGCACCAGGGAGGACAGCCAGCCTGGAGCCTCTTTAAATTAGCCTAAGCTACATTAAATTAGTGAGCTACATTAGCCTCAGAGTGAATTTGTGCTTCAAATCTGCATGGAGAGCAGTTTGTGCTCATGTGTTCCCACAGAGAAACACCACCCAATAACAGAATTTTGCTCCCATTTTGGGGGATGAAAGAAAGTTGGTTGGATTTCTAGATCACTCTTACTGACACTGTCACCCTCTAAAGCAGAGTTTCTCAACCTTGTCATCATTAACACTTGGGACCCATGAATCTTTATTGTGGGCTGTCCTAGGCATTGCAGGGCATTGAGTAGCATCCTTGGTCTCTATCCACTAGATACCAGCAGCATCTCTCCTGCCATGACAATGAAGAATGTGTCTGTGACTGTTAGGGTGGCATCAACTTAATTGGCTTAGAGATCCACAGGGAGAATTGGTGCAGCAGACTTCTGGGTGTTTCTGGATGATTCATGGAGGCATATCTTTGAGTACTCTACATCATCTCTGGTCCATTTTCTGGCTAGCACTGTCCCCTTGTTCTGTTTCCCAGCCACTGTGAACTTAGCCTTATAAAAAATAACTTTAAAATTACTAAAATTGCATTTCCATTTATTTCCCTTTACTCTTCTGTTCTGTATCACTGAAATCAGTGGAGTTCCAGAGCCAGCTCATACTTGCTTGAGATCTGATTGTGTACACTTCTCAACTCCACATTCAAGGAAGCCACACTGGTGGACTGAAATAGGCCACATTGTGGGTACTTATACCATGGAAATCTGCAAATGCAACAGATACATTACCTTGTTTCTTCGGGAGCTGGCTGGCCATTGTTTACGTCCACATCACTGCCAGAAATAGACAAAACACAGGTTGTAAGAAAGATAGGACTTGCTTACTTAGTTCTTTTAATTACTCTGTTGTTCATGTCTCACAGCTTTTTCTTCTGTTGTAGACTTGTGTCTACAGAAATTCATATGTTGAAGTCTTAACCCCAGTACCTTCAAATATGACTGTATGTGGAGACAAGGTCTTTAAAGAGGGAATTAAATTCAAATGAGATCATTAGTTTGGGCCCTAATCCAATACAACAAATGTCCTCATAAGAAAAAGAGATTGAGACACAGGCACATGTGTCCAGGTGACCATATGAAGACAAAGGGAGAATGGCCATGTACAAGTCAAAAGCTATTTCAGAAGAACCAACCCTGAAGTTACTTGATCTTAGACTTCCAGTTTCTAGAAACATAAGAGAAAAAATAATTCTGTTCTTTAAGCCACCTAGCCTGTGTAGTTTGTTATGGCAGCCCTAGCAAACTAACACATCTTTCTTTGATTTTTTTTGTATATTCTTAGACTATTGTCATACCCAATATATAAATCTAGGGTAATTATTCCCTGTGATTAGAACAGACAGCCAATGGGGCCAAAATTATGGGTCCAGTCCCAAGACATGCAGAGAAAAAAAAAATCTCCATCACTGAAAAATGCCCCTTAACCCAATCAACCACCAGGCAACAGCATCTGCCTAACCACAGAGTCAGTCAAAAAGAAAGTCTGATAGCCCATCAATATGTCCTAAAAAGGAACCCTTCAACTTCCAGCCCTAACACTTCCTGGCTGGAGTCTAAAATGCCACTTCTCTTTTCTCCTGCGTTTGTGGCTTCCCTCCTAAAACCAGCTGGATGCACCATTGAAGATGAGACACCAGTCTATCCCAATTGTAAGGAAGAGATTTTCTCAAAACCCTTATTTCCCGTGAGAAACTTTAAACCCTTAATGTTTGTGCTCCTTTAAAATGTATTTGAATAAATCCTCCCATTACTCAGCTAAATAAGAAACCTAGACAGGGACTCACTGCATGAATGGCAGACAGACTACTGCAGGAAAATTAGATGTGGAGTTTCCTAACAGTGAGATACATTGTCCAGTGGGTCTTGTTTCCATCTGACTTTCTTTCACTGCTGTAATTTTCCTTTCTTTTATTTTTCCCTTTCTTTATTCTTGTTTTCCTGTCAATAATTCACAGAACACAAAGGGGGGCTCACATACTGTCCTTGATTTGCTGTATACATCACTTGAAGTGTTGCATTTTAGGACCCAATTTTTAAAAATCATTTACACTTCAGAGTAGAAAAATAGCAACATTACCAGAAGATTCAATTAAATTACCCCAGGTTAATGTGCTCACTGTCAGCGATGAATAACCACAAGTGTATAACCAATGAATAGACTATCAAGCTCTATTTCTTCCACAGATCTATAGTCTATTTTGTTAACATATTAAAATATATTTTCTAATGGAAAAAAACTGAAACGCCCTTTTGTTTACTCCTTTTTATAGCAAGTTAGTGCCTATCATTCCCGGGACAATGGTTTTCTTAAAACTACAATAGCTTTTATCTCTTCAAGCCCCAAAGAACACTGGGAAAATCTCTCACTTGGGTTAACTTTGCTGAATATATTTAACCAGTAAATTATTTGCCTTCCCAACTGGAAGAGCCAATATACATTTATGTTCTAGGAATGGTTTGTTTTACTAACTTTATGAGTGAAGACCTCAATAGTAGCAAAGCCAAGGGACATTTAATTAAGTTATATTTGCTTTTTCATGATCTTTAGCTCAAGCTTATAAATCAAGAATCAATGAGTACTTAATTTCCTCTTATAGCATTAAAAGTAATTGCTTCATAAATTCACTTTAGTAATCCAAATATTTGCACACAGTACAGCACAAAGAGAAGTTGTTTCACTGATGAGATCTTAACTTTTATTTTATTAGGATAAAAATAGAGCTTGCTCATTTTATAGCTTATGATTTTCCTGGCTGCCTCAAATTCCTTTTTGAAGCAGACAGGGTATAAATTTAAAATAAATACAATTATGACTTTGCTTGAGGAAAAATAATCCAGCGTACTTACCTAAAATATAAGAAGAAATCATAGTTGTAGATATATTTCTACTTAGTAGATTATAACCATAATGATTACATTTCCCCCCCAAAAATTGTATGTGCTCAAAAAAAAAACCAAAAACAAATATTTTCAAGATTGGTTTATCCTTTATTTTCCCTGTAAAGTCTTGAAAAAATTGTTGTCTGTGCCCCTAAATTTATTATTGTCAAATTGGCTCTGGCCCAGAAGTTGGAAGCATTTTGTATTTTTTAACTGCTCTGTTCACAATATTTCCCTAAATTTAGATACCATATTAAGATTTACAAGACTTATTTACCATCTCTGAGTCTGTTAAGTCTCCATGAACCAGAGGCCCTTTTCCTCATGGTACAGATGAGAACTAAAGTGAGAAAGGGTCCCAGCCCAGGGTCCTAGCATATGGCTGGAGGGAAGGAACCCAAGCCTGCTGGTGGCAAGCCCAGAACCATGGCTACCCTAGAGCTGCCAGTCTGCTTGGTTTCATTCTGCACGTGTGCTATAGCACCCATTGTCTGTCAGGTACATCAGATGTACTGTACTACAGAAATGGAGTATGCAAGAAAACCACTGCTCTTGCTGGCAGGAAACTTATAGTCTAGCTGTCGTCTAGGATGAACCTAGAAGACACTAAGTGGAAGAAACATATCACAGAGACCACATGCTGCATGGTTTTGTTTATATGAAATGTCTGGAATAAGCAACTTTAGAGAAATAGAAAGTAAATTCATGGTTGCCAAAGGCTGAGGGGAGGGAGGATGAGGATTTCTGGCCGGGGGGCGGGGGGGCAGTTAAAATTGATTCTTGTGGTAGATGTACACCTTGGTTAACATGCTAACAAATAGTGCATTGGAATCACTTGACATTTTAAATGGACAAATCGTATGGGGTGTGAGTTATATATCAATAAGGCTGCTTTTTAAAAACAGACACAGCTATTTGAGGAGCCACCGATGAGAAGGTAGACACTGAGCACCCTGATCTCCAAGGTCTCTAGTGCACTGGCTGCCTCCACCCACACTCCCAAAGGCAGGCTCTGTCTTGGCCCAGGGGAACCTTGCAAAGCCACAAAGTTGTCCCTTCTCCCTGCCCTGCCATTCTCAGCATCCCTGCTCTAGACTGATTAGAATGAGAGGCCACACATGTGTCAGTTAAGCACACCTGTCCCTTTAGTGTCCTTTCATCCACACGACAGGTTTTTAAAGCACGAGTGGCAGCAATCCCAGGGGAAGGGCATATGGCCACAGGCCCACAGAAGGGCGCCCCCACTCTAACAGTCGCCTCCTGTCCTCTGGGATCCTGTAACTGCTGACTTAATCCCAAAGCTTTGGCCAGAACCCAGCTCCACAAAGTTTCTGGAGGTCTCCTATAAGCAAGGCCAGAGCCACACGATACACTAAGCTGACCCATAGTTTAAATGACTTCATTCCAGGAAATTATCAGGAGAAAGATCGCCACTGCAACTTGTCTTTCCACTGTGAGCCACACTGTATGCCTCCCTATCATTGTACACTCTGTCAGCAACCCTGCCTTCTACACCTTCACCTCGTGAAACCCTATACAGTACATATCTTTGTAGGTGCCACTGAGGGCCACATCCTCCACAAACTGGTCAATAATTCCCTTCTGTGTTCTCTTAAAGCTGAGGGGCAATGATGTTGGGATATGAGCATAGGTCTCTAGCTGATCAGCCCCCACTCCCCAAGTCTAAGAGGCATGCTCATCTTCCTCTGTCCTCAGCCCTGGGCCCTGGGCCCACAGACTCACCATCCCATTGGAATTGTTCAACTTGAATTGAGATCAGTCATTTAACCAGCAGAGACTTGGATGGGGACCATATAGGCAGAAACATTGGAGTTACTTCCAAAAGCCTGAAAAGAAAAACAAATGGGTTTTTTTGGTGATATCAAATGAAACAAAGGAAGGAAGGAACTGCCGGAGGTCACAGACAACCATCAGTGTGGAAGATTTCCATTGGAGCAAGCTGGAATAATCAAGATTTATTTTTTAAATGTTGTTATTAAATAAACATTACAGAAACTTTTGCATATCCAACTTATTTATAGCTTAAGGCATGAAAACCCACATTAGTATGTTGAATTATAAGGATTTGCTGCAGCCTGCTAGCTGACAGCACATCAAATTATTTGCAAATATTTTCTGGAACAGTAACCTTGAAGGATGCCAGCCCTCTTCAGTGTAACCTTATCATAAGACGAGGACTGAGCATGGAGATGAGTTTCTAGGCAAAGAGGGCTTTAGTTTCTACAACCTCTCCTGTGGATATTTCAGCAAGGAGTTTATCCCTTCTCTCTCAGCCAAAAAGCCTCATTTGTATCTCTTGGGCATTTACATCTCTCTTAGCTACACTTTAAAATGATGGTGTGGAGAAAGCCCTCTTGAGAAATTGTGCTCTGGGCAGGAATTTGTGAGCACATTCGTCACATTTAAGAAGCATAATATCCTCTAGTCTGCAATGACATAGTTCTGTGAAAATTATGTAATCATTTTAACAAAGAGTCTCTAATTGATAGGAAAAGGCAAAAGCAAGATAGAATGGAATTTCAGGGTGAACAATACAAACTCTTCATTTTCATTGCAAACCCATGGACCATCTTCCACAACACCTAGGAGGGCAGCACACTCAGGACCCTGCATTTCCTTAGCCTTGTGGAAACGAGAGTGGCAGACCTCTAGGGAGTCTATTTTTTCCTTAATATCCAATATATCTACCTTTCAAATTCCTTAAATGTGTCCCTTTTTTCCTATCTTCAACTCTTATCTTCAATTCTTTATCTTCCTTTCCATCTAGAAAAATTTTTCTTTTGATGAAAAGCTATTAAGGCCCATTTCAACCATTATGAAGTGGTTGGGTGATTTCAAAATTGTATCTAAATCATTTAGCAAGGTTGGCAGAGTATCTAACTTCCACAATAAGCATTTGCCAAATATTTTAGCCATATCACAGTTACTAAGCTAGCAAGAAAACACTAACCACTTAGCATAAATGTAGCCATGTTAAAATTAAACAAAATTGATTACCTTCAAAATAACCTTTTGTTTTTGTCTCTGAAAAGCAGCCTTGCACATTTGGTATGGGTAAGAACACATTGCTCATCCTGACACTAACATCTTTCATGTCTTAAGCAGGTTCTGTGTTTTTCTGCATTCTTTCATCAATAAAAATAAGCCCATATTTTCCCACTCTTCGGTGACTCTAAAGATTGTTTATTAAGCACCCACTGTGCTCTCAGGGCTATGCTATTAGATATATCTCTGCACTGTGCAATTCCAAGTACTACCAAAACAGTTAGTTCTGTGCTATTAGAAAGACCAGAAGAGCATATTTAGTGAATCTAGCACATTGCTACTAGAGGATAACAACTTTTCCAAATGATGTTACTAATTAAAACAAAATCAAAATTAATTGTTTCACTCATATAGATTGTCAATTCTAACATAATCTCAACAACATTTTTTTAAATGCTTTTATTGGTACATTTTAGGTGTACAGTATGTTTACATTTATCATTGGGTGCTTGTACCTGCACATGATGTATCTTGGTTCTTATTTTTTTTTCCTCATTACCTGTGTGCCCTTCACCCCCTCCACCCTTCCCTAATTACATAATTTCATTTCCATTTTTTTCTTTTCTCATAATTTTTCTTTTCCCTTCTTTCCTTTCCCCTTCCCCTCTCACTTCTCCTACACCTTTGGACCTTTTCCTATTTCAAATTTCAATTATTTGTTTTAGTCATTTTAATCCTTATTTACACTTTCAGTTTCTCACACTAGAGAAACTATTTGGTATTTACACATGTGTGTCCTATTTATTT